AGAAAGATAGCAGCTTCAGCCAGATTCCATACAGGCTGCTCGGATACACCTCCTCCCTTCCTTGACTTCAGACAAACTGGTCTAGTCATTGTTCCCAGAACACATCAGACACATTCCCGTCTCCATGTCTTTTCTCCAGCCACTTCCCTTGTCTGAAATGCCTTCCTCCTTCTAAGTGTTACTTTTCATTCAATGATAATAACAATAATTAGCTTTTATAAGGTACTTTGCAGAGAGCTTTACATATGTTATCTCATTTGATGCTTGGAACAATCCTGTTGGGGGGTAGGTGCTATTATTATCCTCATTTTACAGATGAGGAAACTAAGGAAGGGAGAGGTTAAGTGACTTGTCAAACATCATAGAGCAAGTAAGAGTGAAAGAGTATTTAAACTCAGGTCTTCCTGATTCTGAGTCCGGCATTCTACCTACTATGCCACCTAGCTGTCTAGCCACAATTTAACTCAAGCCTTACCCTCCTGCTCTTCCACTAAGTGGAGATCTGTCCTCCTGACTGTCCCTCACACAATCCCCTCTTCCACCTTAAGATTCCCAAAACACTTAATGAATGTGCCACTCATAGGCCCTCTTCACACTATCTCACATTGTGTTTATTAGTTCTTCTCTTCGTGTGTATGTGTCCTGTCCCCCCAAGCAATCTGTGAGCTCTTGGTGGTCTGGGAACAAGCCTGTGTATCCTGTCTTCCTGTACATCATGAGTGCTCAGTAAACATGGAGTGGTGATGACAAATGGTAGGACTGATGAATTTCTACTACCCTGTCCATGAGAACTGGACCCCATTTACCCTTTGGCTGGTGTTATCATTTTACCCTATACACTGTCCTCACTTCTGATCCCGACATTTTGAGGTTCTTTCTCTCCCTCTTCCCCCATTCCTTTTTGTCCTAATCCACCTGGTTTGAAAGACCAAGATTCTCTTAGTTAAAGTGGTTGAGGACTGAAGTCTCAACTCAAAACCAAGATCCTGTGGGGTTGAGAGACTGGGGAGAAAACAGGAGGAAATGAGAAGGCTTAGATATCCTACACTGATTAAAGGAAAAGCCACCAACCTTCTGAATGTAAACTACAATCCTTTATTTCTCAAGATACATCCCCAGCAAGGCTTTGACCAACTGATCTCAGCCACAGGGTAGGGGAAGAGTGTCTCTGAAATCATGAGTCAATTTTCCTATCCTTCTGCCTCTAGGAAGAACCTTCTAGCCAATCTTTTTATACTCATTTTATAGAGGGAAACTTGGGCCCAGAAAAAGAAAATGACTTGCCCAAGGTCACACAACCAGTATCAGAACTGGGGTTCACTGAGATGACACTGAAATCACTGTATGAAAATATAGTGACAGCTACTACAGACCCAGTCCCCCCCCCTTGAGACCCCTCTTTTTCTGCCCACTGTGCTTACCTTGCCAGGCACACCTTTCTAAGCAGCTCCACCCACTCCTCACCCTTGCCTTAACTCACCATACCATCTTCACCAAAAACAGCTAAGCTGGAAGGTAGGAACCCTGGAGAGATGAATGGACATAAAGGCAGGCATTGGGAGGGGACATCAGCCAGCAAGAAAGGACATGGTATGGCTTTTCATTCTATGGTCAGTTACCCTGGTATAGGCTAGTGAGGCCCTTATAACCATTCCTAGGCCTTCTTGTTTCTGATAGCAGCTATCATTTCCATAATGTTTTAATGCTTACAAAACACTTTCTTCACAAGTTTTACTATCCCCATTTTACAGATGAGGAAACCAAGATTTCGTAGAATTTAAGTAACCTTTGGGATCTGATGATTTTAGAGCTAAGTGGAACCTTAAAGAATATCTGGAAGGGAAGAATTCATGACCAAACAAGAGATAGAGAGCATTAAGAGATATAAAATGGATAATTTTGATTATATTAAAGTTAAAAGTTTTTGCACAAATAAAACCAATGCAACCAAGATTAGAAAGAAAGCAAAAAATCAGGAAACAATTTTTACAGCAAGCATCTCTGATAAAGAACTCATTTCTCAAATATATAGGGAACTGTGTCAAATTTACAAGAATACCAGTCATTCCCCAATTGATAAATAGTCAAAGGATATGAACAGGCAGTTTTCAGACAAAGAAATCAATGCTATCTATAGTCATATAAAAAAAATGTTCTAGGGGCAGCTGGGTATCACAGTGGATAGAGCACTGGCCCTGGAGTCAAGAGGACTTGAGTTCAAATCTGGTCTCAAACCAGACACTTGATACTTACTAGCTGTGTGACCCTGGGCAAGTCACTTAACCCCAATTGTCTCATATAAAAAAAAATGTTCTAAATCACTATTGATTAGAGAAATTCACATTAAAACAACTCTGAGGTACCAACTAACACCTGTCAGGTTGACTAATATGACAGAAAAGGAAAATGATAAATGTTAGAGGGTATGCAGGAAAATTGGGACACTAATGCACTGCTGATGGAGTTGTGAACTGATCCAACCATTCTGGAAAGTAATTTGGAACTACACCCAAAGAGCTATAAAACTGTGCTATAAAACCTTTGATCCAGTAATACCACTTCTAGGTCTGTATCCCAAAGAGATTAAAAAAGAAAAAGTCAAAAAGGCCTCAAAACTCAAGAGTTTGATTTCCTTACTCAGAGGAGCTAGCAAAGCCTTCTCTTGTGAAAGAATAAGAGTGCATCTCCAAAGTTTGATCTCAAGATTTTCCACGAATCCCTTACCAAAAAATATCTCTCCACTAGACTTGCCAGGGAGTCATCAGCCCTCCAACCTGGTCTAAAATTCATGAATATGTAGAATGTTTGTGAAACATAGAATGTTAGAACATAGAATGTCAGGCTATAGCAATAGCTCCCATTTACATGACTCTCACTAAAGTACATAAAACACTTTAGTCACAACACCTAGTGAGGGAAGTGATGGCAGGTATGATCATTCCCATGGGGCCCATAAAGAAACTGTAGCTCCAAGGACTTGAATGTCTTGATCAGAGTCACAAAGCTAGTAATATGAGAGCCAGGTCTCCTGACTCCATGACTTTATTGCGCCCTGTTGCCTCTATAACATGGAACATTAGAACACAGAATGTCAAAGCTAGAATAGACCTTCGAGATCACCTAAGACAACCAGAAAGGGGAAGAAACTTGCCCTCGGTCACATAGCCAGGCCAACACCAGAACTCCAGTATATTGATTCCCAGGCCAGCACTCTTTCCAGGGTACCCATTGTTATTCCCAGAGCTAATCCTAAAGCACAAACAATTTGAACCTTGTTCCCCATTCCAGGACCTCCTCCCCACCCCTCCACCCCCGCCTAAACACACACACACACACAACCTTTCTTCTTAGTTGGTCTCTCTGGCCCTTCTAGGTTATCTCCCTCCTCACTTAAGCCCCAGGAAAGGGAGGATCAACAACCCCCCCCACTCCCAGATAAATGTCTGAATCACACATGTGTTGAAGGAAAGGATCTTGTTACTGGAAAAAAGAAAGCTTGGTTCCCCCTCCTTTTTCCACTCCATCACCAGCTGTCCTCTAGCGTGAGAAAAAAAGTTTTCTCTTTTTAAGGATGCATGATAACCAGGAAGAAAAGATTCCCAAACTCCCAATTTTAGCAGCTCTGACTCAGAATTGAGAGGGGAGGAATAAAACAGAGGTACCTTGCCATCATTAATTCCCTTAAAGCCCTACCAGCCCCCTCCCCAAGGGCAGGGATGATTTGATGCCTCCCTGCAGCAGGGCCCTCCAGAAGTCAACATCTCTCTCTCTCTCTCTCTCTCTCTCTCTCTCTCTCTCTCTCTCTCTCTCTCACACACACACACACACACACACACACACACACACACACACACACACACACACGGTTAGGAATTAGGAATGACCTTATAATAGAGAATGTTAGAAAAGAAGATGTTAGGGCTAGAAATGACCTTTGTGGCCATCTACTCCAACTTTTTCATTCCTCAGATAAGAAACAGAAGTCAAATGGTGCTGTCAAGGTCCACCGAAAAGTGAATGGTAGAATCAGACTTTGATTCCCAGGTCAGCACTCTCTTTAGTTCACCTTACGTAGGCATTGCAGGTAGAATGTCACTAACAAGTATGCCTCTCTCCCCAAGGAAATGAGTCATCCAGGTTTTCCCTTGGTTACCCACTCCATGGTACTAAGGGGTAAAAGGTGATAGGAGTAAAGAAAAGAAAAATAAAAAACGGTAATCAAAACTGTGGGATCCCAGTAGCAAGAGGTGGTGAGATGACTCACCCTAAATTAGCTGTTCATCAACCACCCTGCCTTCTTTTCTGTTTCATAACACAGACCACTAAACTGAGGCCAAGAGAGGTTTTTAGCAATTTTGCCTCAGAGGTCACCAAGCAGCCAAGAATTCCAGATGTTGGGGTCCCCCTCCAGCCAGCTCTGAGTACCAGGAGTCCTAGAATTATAGAACTTTGGAGGTAGAAGAGATCATGCCCTATCCACTCATTTTTATAGCTGAGTAAACTGAGACTCAGAGTGGTTTTAAGTGATTTTCCCAAGTTTGTTCAATGAGTTGATTGCAGGTGCAATGTGGGCACAGTAAAAAGAACACTGGATTTGAAGTCAAAGCTCCTAATTTTAAAACCCAGCCCAGTTATTTATTATGGTATGCCTTTGGACAAGTCCCTTTAACTCTTCTTTGTCCATAAAAGAAAGGTGTTGGAGTGAATGTAACCTCAGGTCTCTTCTAATTCTAATTTTATGATTTGAACCCAGGTCTCCTGACTCTCAGCCCAGTGTTCTTCGAACTGTAATGTGTTGCAAACCCCCCCCCATCCTCACCAGACAGAGACCCATTGTGTTAGTCTGTTTTGAAGCAGCTGCTGATCAGATTCTGGGAAGCAGAGGGGGTCATTACAGGCAAAATGAAGACTGAGCCCTCCCCAAGAAGCGGGGTATGCTGAGGAGGGAGGGAGGTTTGTAGGATAGGGATGGCAAAGAAGCCAAGCTCCAGTTCTATTACCCCGGCTAGCTGGCCTGTTTCGGCTCCTGGACCGGCTCCTCTGTCTCTGCAGACGCGATCGCCTCAGCAGCCGGTAGTAGTAGGATGGTCTCCCAGCACTTTTCCTGCCGCCCGCCGACATACTGTTCCCCCTCCTAGAGAGCCCAGAGCTGCTGGCCCTGCTCCACAGCTGACCCCCAAGGGGGTAGGGGGACCCAGGCCAGCTCTTCAGGAGCCAGGGGCCAGAGGATGAGGAGGACAGAACCCTGAGCCCTGGGCACACGTCCAAGTCAGGCATCAAGGGCAACCTGAGAACCACACAGAGCTCTCGTTCTGCATCTCAGCCTCTCTGAGGTAGAGCTCCTGGACCTCCTGCTTGCTCAACTTAACTGCCCTGTTAAACTGTGGAAACAAATTCTTCCTCCAACGATAAGCCTGTTGGAGTTGTAAAGAGGAAGGCAGAGTTGGCATTGGCTCCCAGTTGAATGAGAAGGGGGGAGTAGGTAGCCGGAAAGTCAGTTCGGAAGAAATCCCGGACTGGATTATTGTGTTGGTTGAAACAATGAGTTTGGCCAAATGGGGCTCCCTTTGGAGTGATGCCCACAAGGGGAGGGGGAGGGGGAAGGGGGAGTTTTATGCCAGGGAGATGCTTGTTATGGTGTAGGAAGATTATTGGAAAACAGTTATCATCCTTCCCCTTCTCATCTTCCCTCCCCAAGAAAGATCCCTTCCAACTCCAAAATCCCCTAAGATTCTATAAACGTATGAATGGCACTCAGAAAAGAAGCATGATCTGTTAAAAAGAACAGTGCATTTGGGGTCAGATGGCCTAAGTCCGAATACTTGCTGTTCCTTACTAGCTGTGTGACTTTGGATAAGTCATCGCCTCTTATGAGGTCTCAGTTTCTTCACCTGTAAAAAGAGGGAAGTAGGAATAGCTGATATCTAGGGTCACTTTAGATCATCTGAGTCAAGAGTGGTACCCCATTTGATAGCCTCCAAATCCACCTGTTTAAAACCTGTCTCAAACTATCTGATAGTATGTAGCATAATGCTAACAAGAAGGCAGGATAGTGAGAGTGAACTGATTTTGGAAGGTCTATCCCCTCTCTGAGCAGGGGTTCTTAATTTGGAGTCAGTGAACTTTAAAAAAAAATTGATAACTGTAATTCAATATAATTGTTTTCCTTGTAATACTATGTGTTTTATGCATTTAACAATATTTTGAGATGGGATCCTTAGATTTCCCTAGACTGTCTGAGGGTCCCATGACACAGAATGATTTTTCTAGAGGGAGGCCAGGTAATCATCAATAACCAGGGTCCAAAGGCCGAGGATCAAACCCTGAGAAAGTTTGTCACATACACACTCCCACACATACACATACATATAAACCTTCAGAGTAGGAAAAACACTAGGTTTGAAGTCAGAGATTTGAGTTCAAACCTCGACTCCATTGCTTACTAGGTATGTGACCTTGGGCAAGTCACTGCCACTCTCCAGGTTTCACTTTCCTCCTCTGTGAAGCGAAGCAGTTGGACTAAATGATTGAAGGTCCCCTCCACTCTAAATCCTGTGATACTCTACACATGCATGAATACAGGTAGGTCTGAGGTCTTGAGGGAACCATGAAATGGGAAAATTTTCATTAGAAGTTGAGTGAACAAAGTGTCAGATAACACCAACCCCCACCCTCACACCCCAGGGACCTTTTTGTCCTACCTGTTCAGAGTGAGTAATGGCACACCCCACAGGGCAGGAAGTGGATCCAGAAATAAGGAAGCAAACATCCCAGCAAAGAAGGAAAGAGAGGATGGGGGCCACAGGCAAGCCGGATGGGACTTATTTTTCATCTTGGGATTTAGAGCATTCTCAACCTGCCTTAGCTATCATTCAGACTGATGGGTGGTAGACTAGGTGCCACTACAGATACCACACACACTCAGGTGAAGCGGTCTAAGAGCTAGAGGGGACCTGGGACGGGGAATGTTGGAGGCATAAGGAATCCTAGAACAAAGAATGCTAGAACATACACTGTCAGGGAGCCCTGGTAGAAGCCATCTAGTCCAGCTGTTTCACTGTAGAGAGGAAGAAACTGAGGTTCAGAAAGGTGGCAAATTCCTCATATATCAAGTAGAGATAACATTTGTACCAGGGGAATGGAAGAAGATAAACATTTATTAGGCACTTACAATGTACTGAGCCCTTTACAAATATCATTTCATTTGATCCCCTAACAAGACTATGAGATAGGTGCTATTATTATTCCCACTTTACAGTTGAGGAAACTGATGCAGACAGAGCTTAAGTGACCTGCCCAAAGTCACACAGCTAGTAAATGTTTGAAGCTGGATTTGAACTTAGGTCTTTCTGACTCCAGGTCCAGTGCTCTATCCACTCTGCAACCTAGCTGCCTCTACCTACCACCTATTTCTCAGGATAATTAAGGAAAAGCATTTTGTAAACCTTAAAGCAGTACAGAAATATAAGATTTTGTTATCACTGCTGTCCAAGGTCATAGAGGTGGCCAATGACAAAGCTGAGATTCAAACAGTTCTTCGGATCACCCTTTCAATTAGACTTAAGATATTCTAGTGCAGGAGTATTTAGGCTACAGCTCACTTCCATGGTAGAGCTGACACTAGAGAGGAAGTACAAGAAGAACAAAATCTTCTTGGTCTTTTGGAGGAAAGAGGGGACAGGAAGCTAGCCTCTAGATCTTCCAACAGTCCCAGAGGCTCAGAAAAGGGCACCTGCTCAGAGAAAGGATAAGATATATAGAGAAGTATATTGCTTCCACTCCAGGTAGACTAATCTATTTGTAAAATTAGGACCCATATGAGAAAATTACAGAGAGGTAGATTTCAGCTCAATAAGACAAAGAACTTCTTAACAAGTAATGCTTTCCTGCCACAGAATGGGTTGCTTTAAGGGTAATGAACTAACCATCAGTATCAGTATTCAAACACAGGCTAGATGACCACCTGTCAGACACACTGTAGAGAATACTCATGCTTAAAGTAAAGAGTTAGACTAGATCAGTGGTGTCAAATTCAAATACAAATGGGAGAAATGGCAACTAAAGATACATGACAATCTCTGCAGGCTGCACATTGACTTAGAAAACCATACGCCAACACGATCTGTGTTTTATTGTACTTTTATTTATTTTGTTATATATTTTCTAATCACATTTTAATCTGGTTCTGGCACTGGGGGCACCTCTGAACTAGATGGTCTCTGAGGTCCTTTCCAAGTTCAAAACTTCTTGATGGCAGGATAATGTGGCTGTTGGTGTTATATACTCAGCACCGGAACAGTGCTGGTCTATAGGAGGTACTTGGCAAAAGCTTGCTGGACTGTACTTAAGATTCTGATGGTTATTCCAATAGACAATAATAAAACAACATAGCAAAAGAAAAAAAAGGAAAGGGGGGGTCTTTAAAAGAATCTAAAGTAGAACAATTTATCACCCCGTTCATGCCTATATAATTCACATTTTTTGAAAAAAAAATACTACCTATCCTCAAATTTCTGACATGATAGTTGTTTTTATTCCAATATAATATTCTCAAGTTAATAAGCAGGATAACTGAAACCTGAACCCAGTTCTCTTAACTTAATCTTGATCTTGTTTGCACTGTACTTTTCTGGTTATAATGGAAAAACTCCTTCTCTGTCACCTTCAGTGGCCAAGCAGCCTTTGAGTTCTGCTCATTGTTCCTTTGAAAATTACTAAAATCCATGCCTTTTATTCCACTCCCATGGTTGCTATTGTCATCCCTTTACTCCTGGACTATTACAGTATTCTCTCACTGCCCTCCTAACCCAAGGATTTTCCCACTCCAATCCATCCTTGAGAAGATGGCAGGGTATTATTCTAAAAGTAGTGTTTTCATATTATTCCTGAGTAAAAAGAGTGACAACAGGAGGAGTGCTATTTCTAGGATACTTTAAGGTTTACCAAATATGTTATTCACTACAATCCTATGAAGTAAGCAACACAAGTATTGTTGTTGTTCTGTCATTTCAGTCACGTCAAACTCTTTACGACCCCATTTGGGGTTTTCTTGGTAAAGATGCTGGAGTGGTTTGCCGTTTCCTTCTGTAGATCCTTTTATACATAAGTAAACTGAGGTAAACAGGGCGAAGTGACTTGTCCAGGGTCACACAGCTACTAAGTATCTGATGCCAGATTTGAACTCAGGAAGATGAGTCTTCCTGACTTCAGGTCCAGTACTCTATCCACTGAGCTGTCTAGCTGTCCACAAGTATTATTATCCTCATTTTAAAGATAAAGAAACTGAAGCTCAAAGAGGCTACACCTTGACTAGGCTCACCCTCAACCCTGAGCATTCTAAGGTTGGTGATCTTTCCTCACTTGTCCTCACTTTAATGACACTTCATTGCCTGACAAATAAAGGTCAAATTCCTTAGCCCTCCACAACTTGACCTTTTCCAACCTTGTTGTCCTCTATTCCCTTTCACACACTGTACCTGCTGGTCAAACTAAGCAACACATGCCATGCTCATTCTCATCATCTCATTCTCATCATACCTATTTGCTACTCACGTTCCTGAGGATTCTCTTCCCTGTGTCTTCCCATATTCTACCCATCCTTTAAGGCCATGCTCTAGTCACACATATCCTTTTATGAAGTCTGCTCTTACTACCCCAAGATCACAGTGAGCGTTCTCCCCTCGGGTTTCGTACACTTCTCACCTGTGCTCCTCATCGGGCATTCAGCATACTTTCTGGATAGGGTTGGCTATCTGAGTTACATATAAAGCCATTCTCACCTGATAGTCTCTGATCTCCTTCAGAGCAGGGAATCTTCTTTTGTATTTCTCTGCCTCCCACCCCACCCAGCATAGAACTGGGAACACTGGATTATGAAATCAAAAGATTATGAGACAGAAAAGACTCTAGAAAATTTTCTAGTCAAAATTCTTCATTTTTACATATGAGGAAAGTGAGGGTCAAAGCTGAAGTGATTTATTCAAGATCCCACAGCTATTAAGTTACAGAGCTGGGATTCAAAACTAGGTGTCCTGATTATAAATCCAGTCCAATATACCAGCTGCCTTTCTTTACAAGTACTCAGTTGATGTTTATTGAATTGAATGGAACTAAAATTTCTCTTGCCACATAAGAACTTCATCCTGGCTTCTGAGTAACCTGGAAGGAGGGTTTCCGGGGGAGTTTCCACTGGGCCCTGACACTGAGAGCTCATGAGGTGGCCTTCAGTCTGGCCAGGCCTGAGAATACTCCAGATTCCAGACCCTGGGCAATATTCCAGGCCAGGTTTTACAGTCCCTTCTCCTGCCTGTCAGTGAGAAGAGGGGCAGGACATGACAAGGTCAGGTCAGGCTGAGGAGATCAC